GTTGTTCCAATTAATTACAAAAGTAGGTAGAACATTTGAAATAAGGCTTTAGGAAACATTATGATTGTGATGGACTGCTGATTATCAATTGTCAGTAACTAGAGCGATGATCTGATTAAAAATGACTCCTTTAAAACAAAGGGATGCTAACAATACCTGGGACAAGGTCCCACGGCTCATTTCACTATTTATGATTTGCTTTCTCTGTGCAGTGTGCCTGTCGTGCCTTTCTCCACTTAGCATCCCTCCTGAATGTAAGAGGGTCTTTTCTATCTTTGTGAGAAGGCCAATTAGATCTTTTAACATGTTTAACAATACATTTCCATTTCTGTAGTATTTGCAAAATCAAAAGAAAAGATTTCTACACAGTGATGTCTCGATTTAAAAGTAGAAAAGCACTCAACACCTCTTTTGCCACCCCACATAGTAAACAAGAGGGCTGTGATTGCCTCAGAAAATGAGAGGGTGTGCTGAAGGCAGCCACAATGACTGGGCTTAAGTGAAAGCCATAATTAAGACCACAGAGGACCAAGTATAATAAGCTTCCTTAAAAATGGATGCAAGTACTTCTACAGCACTGCTTTTACACCTGATCACATCCAGGCTTTATTGCTTACCTGTCCAAACTTTTGATAGATGACTCCAAACTTAAAATTATTGCTTATCACATGTTCATCGAAAGTGACAATAAGTCTTGAAGCCTGCAAAGATCACAGATATAACGTTAAAGAAGATGTATATGGCTATATCTAATTATATTTATCTGCATATATTATTTATTTCTCCCGTGTATACAAGATGTTTTTTTCCTGTTCTTTTCTCTCTCTCGTTTTTCTTTTGCTAGAATGCTTCAGTGCAAAGGTTGATAAAAAGCTCAATCCCATTCAAAGATGTACTGAAAGGTTTGACTGAAGGTAATATGAGACTTGCAGTATATTATTAAATATGAAATTCCATCATTTCCCCTTCAACTGTAGGATATTGCTTAAAGCAGCTGTGAAAAAATCTAACCAGATGCTGAAAGCTCATACTTCTGGGCCTAGAAAGAAAACCCTGAAAATCTGTGATCCAGAACTTACTTTGGGATAAAGGACAGGATAAAAGCGGTCCACGTTGACCTCTTCGCAGACAAGCTTGAATTTAAAAAAGCCGTGGGAAATAATGTCAGAATGTGCTGGAAGTGTCACAGCAGCTTATCTTTAGACAAAAGAAATATAAAAATGGCTTCTTACCTTGGCCATTTGGACCACATTTGGAAACTCTGTCAGACAGGAAATGGGGATCACATCATGGTAGGTTTTCAGCTTGGTCCTGATGAAGCCATAAAGGAATTAGTGTGGGTTTTATAGCCATATAACACGAAGCAGCGTTTCTCAGAATCTATCAGTTGGTGCGGAGATGATCCGGTACGGACCATGATCAAAGCTCCCCGCCCTTGCCTCTCTTTGCCTTCTCTCCCTTTCACCATCTCCACCCACTAACTGGCCTAAATAGTCCATCTGTTACTCTTCTGTGGAAATGACAGAGCTGTTGACACTCTTGCTGGCTTTACAACTCTTACGATAACACCCCAGGCGGATGTGTGTGTCCAGTCAATGCTGGGCAATTTAGGGGGAAAAAAATTACTCCGTAGCTAGAGCTTGTTGTTCACAAAAGAGGCAAAATCTTACACATTAATTACTTCAGATTATGAAGTAACCAGGCAGACTTAAATTGTTGATTTTCTCAGACAATTGGGCAACATTGTACTGAACCCTGCATGAAAATTAAGCGTTACCTGAGCATTAGACGCAGATGTTCCTGGTCACCGATCACCTCGTATTTTAGGGAGAACACCAGATGTCCAAGGACACTGTCCACTGAATAGTAATTAAAGTGTTCCTAAGGGCACAGCATACATTAGTACCACCATTAGTATCTGTCATAAAGAGGCACACATGTGCACAACACGGGTAAATGTGCTCCAGTTCATTCCTTTCCTGTCTGAGTTCCTTTGTTTACTCGTCCTCTGCTACATGCAACCAATTTTGTTTACTGGTATTATGTGTTT